GTACCCCTTCACATAACTGTTGAGAGTAAAAATTACCCTATTTCGCTAGAATATTCCAAATTACTAATGAAAATATTAGTTGAGAGATTTCTACAACCATATTTTTAGCTGAGGTGTTTTTCAAGTATAAGATCCGTAGATCCCAATTATTAGAGCAGACAACGGATTTAGTTTGATGATAAACATCATATTTCTGTTTGTCGAAACTCTGCTTCCCTTCAGATAACTTAATATCTCAACCAAGTGAATCGTTATGTTCGTACTTTGAAAAAAAAAGAGCTCAAGGGTGTAAAATACTCTTATGAGCTGCAGTAGTCTATAATATGGTATCTGCTAGTGGTAGCAGAAGAGGGTACAGCAAAACACTAAAACGCCGTCATGTCCAAAATTGATGATTTCAGACCCGAATTTGATATTTTCATTGGCGTAACAATCCTGTGAGTGCCGGAAACTGAGGACCCTGCTAAACTTGTATGCCGTACGTTATTTGGCGAGTTTTTGGACCACGAGCCTTCGGTTAGAATGTCAAGCACTCAACTATTTAGTCCAAGATGGATTCAGTGGTATCTCCCGTTCTTTTCTCACTAATAAACTGCTCATTTGCCGGATGGGCCGATATTGTATCACTATAGCATATAGCTGCAATACAAACTGAATGATCGGAATCAAGTGCTTGTATGGAAAACTTTTTTTTTTAACGAAATATCTTTACGAAATTTGGCATGGATCATTATATTAAGGAGTTATGGAATCTCTGTTAGAACTTGTTCAGCGGATCACTATAGAATACAGCTGCCATATAAACTGAACGGATATATAACTGATGGGAATCAAGTTCTTCTAAGGAAACTTTTGTATTTGGGAAACTTATAATATTGTGTTTTTTTTTCTAATTACATGTCAACCACTGTTTCAATAAAATGCAATTATTTATGCGAGCGCCTCTTCGCCATATTCGCCAAATGATAATAAAACGGAAGCTAACATGTGGCAAGGAAACGCTCTTGATACGCAGTGACATTGAAAGCGCTGATTCTAACGTTGCTTTCCGTTTGCTTTGCCGACAGCCGCTCGGATGGCAAACTGGAAGGAAATGTCTAAGGAAAGATAGAAATATAGAGCCGTAGATGAGATGAAATCCTGGCGCGAAATTGCTTGGCTGCTGTGGGAAGTGGCTAGATTCTGCGGAATTTCATTTCGTTTTCATAAATTCGTTTTATTTTTGTTTTTTAAAAGTTGAAAAATATTACTTTTGAAATACCTAAATGCAGTGCTAATATATAAATATGTATGTGCCAGAAATGCTTTATAGGTATATATTTTCGAGTGTATTTCATATAAAAAACTCAAAGAAATATGTACTTAGCTCGTATGTAGTGGTATATTAGAATAATGGCGGAAACCTTCACAGGTTCTTCAAGTTGCATTGCTGCCGATGTCAAGGGCACACCGCAACGCTTTTACGATACATCGCTGCACAACAACTCACATTCGCATAGTGTATGTAAACATATGTATATACCTATATTTGACCTCAATTTGTAGTCGAAATTCGAAATTTCAGCTCAGCCTTCTCACATTTTCTAGCGTTCATTTACGCTCGCGAGTGGCAAATATTTTCTTTTGTCAAACAGCGAATGGTGGAAGCAGTACAGCGAAAAGTAAAAACAAAAATGGTTGTCGCGTAAGTTAAGGTCAAATTTTTAAAATTACACACGAACATAGTGGATATACAAGTACATGCATTTACTTGCAAAGTCTTAGGAACTCACTACCATATCATATATCTATATAAGGTCATGAACAGCAGTCCATAAAATAAGCAAATGACAACTGAAAACAAAAACACTGACAATAATATGAATTAATATAATATGTACAGGGTTGTACAAATTCAAAGAACTGCTGGAGCTTCTTCGTAAGCTCCTCATTGCTCCAGGAAGCTCCAGCTTAAGCTGCAGAGTTAGTGCCAGGCCTTGCATTTAGACCAGGCTTAGCTCCTTTCTTCGTGCTGACAGCTTCCTATTTTAATCCAGTGATATTGAGGAGCAGCGAACACCCAACTATAAAGACAAACCTTAGCTGGATATATCCCAACTGAAACAGGGGCGAACTGTTTCCAGCCCGTCCCTTCCATCGTTGTGGTTATGTGGTACTATTATCAGTCGACACCCTCAGGGAGGGTTTAGCGGGGGAGTTTTGTTCATAAGTCGAAGTAGGTTTCTCTATTCGCTAGAAATGCTCAATATTATATTTATCGAATCATATGTAAATACTTCTTCTTCCATTCTCATAGCACTGATTTGGTGATAATATCTTTCAAAAACAAAATCGTTAAAAGCCTAAAATGAGGTAAAAACGGAGATTATAAGACCTAGAATGATTTATGTCGCGCATAATATTTGTTACCCACATCTACAAATTTTTCACAGTTTATTATAAAATGTAAAATAGAACATCCCTACCATTTTTGTGAAGAAATAGCATTATACCTATGTCCACATTAACATTTAAAAACTCATTATACTGCCTTAGTCAAACAAATAGAGCTAACGAAATCCAGTAAAGTCAGTTGGAGTAGGATGAATTCAAATTTGAAATATTTTCTGGGTAGGGCCTTGATTGCTCAGATAATAGGTATTGGAAATATTTCTAGTAAAAAATTCAGAATATTACATTAATTTTAAAACCTGATATACATATATACAGTACAATAAAAAATATCCAAAATCGCCAGAAACGTTTTGTACAAAATTGCAAACTTTTATTAGAAATAAATAATTTTTGTTTTTTATAAAAACACGTTCTGTAAAATTTTGTGGAAAAATTAAGAAAAAAATAGATACCATAAGTACAATATTTAATTTTGTTTTTGGCAATTACTCACATAAGGTAATTGTAATGAAAACATCGATTTACTCTATATTTGTAAGTATAGGGCGAGTCGCAAGCAAACAAAAAATTCCAATTTATTGTCTTTATTCTTATTACGTCATTTTTACCTATACCCGCCCATTTAATATTGTATAATATAAACATACTTACATACTTGGGCTCGTTTGTTTGGCTCTACGGCATATTTTATTAAATTGCCCACAATCTGGCCTATTCACTTACGTTGCTTCCTCTGGCGTAAAAGAATAATTGCTTTGTTGTCTGCGCAGTCTTTTCTCGCCATCTGTTTCACCCGCTTTGGCTGTATATTGCCGTAAGGAAAAAAAAACATATTTTTACCTCATATATTTTATGATTCTAAACATTTTTCACCATTAAAATGTCGTAAATAATATATTAAGACTGGCGGCAACTAACGTTAGCGACGACAGCAGTGAGGAGGTGAATTGTCGGCAGGAAATGTCACAGTGTTAGACAAATACCTGAATAAGTAACTGTAAAATGGATAATGCTTCTGAAATATCTATATATATATATATCTATATAAACGAGGAGAGTGAAGTGAATCGTTATTGATTTTAAAAATTCTTTATGCTCATTCAAAAAGCTCCAAAACTTTTCTGAAGTTGTTATCATTGTGATCTTACAATGACAGTGAAGAAGAACTACAAGTATATTCAATTGGACAACCCTTAGCATAAGAAAGTTCAAGACCTTCGAGTTTTTTAAACATCTACTTAAACGATTTATAAAAAATGTTGATGACGAAAGAGTGAAGAATAAACCACACTTGTAACTATAATATTTTCCTAGAGGGCATGAGGCAGTGAATATGATACAAATAGTACAGGTATGTATTGCTCTTTTTTTCTCTCTCTCTATTTTATGTATAAACTTAGTTTACTGTTATTTTATGACTAGTTGTTTGTGGAGTTACCAAAAAGAAACTTATCCATAATATACGCCCTTGACTATTGCAAATTACATATATTCACAAATTATTTCAGTCAATTCATTTAAAAGAGATTTAGGGATAGTCATAATTTTAATAAAATTTCTAAAAGTATAATATTTAAGCAGTACTATTGACTTACAATTTAAAGAAAATGCAATAAATACTTTTTGAGTTTTTTTAAAATTAGCAAAGCATTGTCGGGCCTTCTGGAACTTTCGGGAGCAGGCCGCTAGCAGTAGATGTAACTTAAAATACGATTTACTGTATATCGAATACCGCTCGGTAAATTCCAATGAAATGTATACAACTTTTTGAAAACATAAAAAAAAAATGTCCTAAATGAAGCATTTTTAAATTAGCGAGCATCATGCGAATCACAGACGACTTCGAAAGCTCATAAAACAACTGAGATGTATTTGTGGTCATATATGTCTATGTAGGATTATTTTTTTAATCGTACCAGCCACCACCGTACCATAAGTTTACAAACGATTTCTTTCAAAATAGGTCTGGTTTTAAGTCACTGCTAGATTTAAAACAAGTGCCATCGACTGATCTAAAGACACTATTAAATTCTCAATAACCAGCCCGTAAAAAGTTTTCTTTTATTAAAGGTAAGCTTAGATGATTAGACCAAAACTCTAATTGTACTAAAAATGTATATCCAATTTGGTAAGCTTTTTTGAACTCTTCTGTTTCTTAAATTTACTTTCGACAAGAGAGTCTAGTGGTTAAAATAGGCGGGGAGGTTATTCCATTAATAAAAATTTTACTCCAACTAAATTTAAACCCATGGGCCAGCGGTGGCTTCCAATTCAAACTTACGAGTACTTGCATTTACAACGGAGTTTTCGAAGACATTTCTTATTTCTTAAACTGTTAATATTAAAGCGTTACTGTCAAAAAATGCAAAGTGCTCTTAATAAAGTAAATATTTATTTTGAAACTGACTTGTTATTTTATGGCTTGAGCATTTTAAATGTTAATATTACTTTAGAAAAAGCAAAAAAAAGGAAATAAGTTTAATATTGCCTTGCCTGAGTTTGTGTTTTCTGTAAAACTTTTAAGAAAAAAAATAAACACTAATCCACTTACTAATGGAGAGGAATAAAAAAATAAAAACCACTCAATTTCTCAAAATATTGAAACAAGTTACCTAAGAAAACATTTTCATTTCATTACATTTATATTTTGTATTTTGACGCATGCAAAAAGGAACAGAAGAAAACAGACAACAGTAACCGCACAGTAGAGACTACAAAATGCAAGATCGCGTGAACATCTTTCCCTCGCGCGCCAACCTCGTGCTCATGAAACAGCGCATTGTAGCCGCATCAAGAGGCCTGAATTTGCTTAAGCGGAGACGTGATGCGCTCGAAATGAAACTACGCGAACTGATAGGTGATTTAGAAGCCGCTCGAGAAGTAGTGGATAAGGTGATGGCCGAAGCAATATTTTCGATGGCAAAAGCAAATTTCCTCGACGCAGACATGCGGGCCTGCGAACTAATGCAGATCGACCGAGCGGACATTTATATGCGTATAAGGAATGCCAAGGTAGCGGGCATACTGCTACCACAATTCCAACTATACGTCGATAATCCCGCCAGTTTTCCTTTTACCGGCTTATCGCGTGGCGGCGAACAAGTGGAAGTCGTGCGTGCGTACTTTCAAGACGCCGTACGTACACTCGTTACACTCGCTTCGCTCGAGTACTCGGTGAATACGCTGCGCGATGGTGTACGTCACAATAATATGCGTATCAATGGTTTAGAATATGTAGTGCTGCCGCGTTTTCACAATACCGTTAACTATATACGGGATGAACTGGAGGAGTATGAACGTGAAGATTTTTATCGTTTGAAGCGCTCGCAAGCGAAACAACGCAAGCGAAAAGAGAAGTTTGCACTACTGCTCAAGATGAAGAATAAGACAGCTGAACAGATAGCAGAACTCGAAAAGATAGAATATGGGAAAAGGGAATCTATTTCGTTACCTAGCATAGTAGACGATTTTGATATGAAGAAATTCGATAACACTGAAAATGTACCAGATATAAAAGAGGAAGATAGTGAGGATGGGCCAATATATTAAACTGTTATTTAGGAGCGTGAAATAGTACAAATTAAACCAGAGAATATTTTAACTTTTAGTACTTGAACAGATATCATACATAATGGACTATAACAATGATGTACAAAAAAACTGGGAAAATCATTATAAAAAATTCTTCGTCTCCTTACTTTTTTGGTCTTCACCTTCCATTTCTTTTCAACTTCGATTTCTTCCCACAACATCGTCAACAATTCATCATTAAAGGAAAGAAATTCGAATCCTAGATAACCTAAAAAATTAAAATACTTCATTTTTCGGGAAACTTAGTGTTTCCACTAAGCCTGATGGAATTTAGTTACATTCCCATCCATCGCAAGCTGTGCATTCCATATGAACGGGTTTTTTCTTGTTTTAAAAAGCATACATCTCTTTTTGTGATCTAAATGCAGATATTACAACAATAGCTTAAAAAATCCTATATAATTTGTAGGCATACTACTGAGGTGATAGCCCATGGACCCTTAGACCTGAATATACTATATTATATTAGAAACAGAATCTGTATCTAGTAAGAAAATATTTCACGACTCGTCATAGGCAAGTGGGTTAAAGCATAATGGAAGAAGTCTTTTAAAAGTTGTTAAGTTTTAAAAAATAAGAGCATTCCATAACAACATTTGACATTTAAGGTTATACAAAAAGCTCTTCAATATCTGCAATAGTTTAATAAACTATACTAAGCGCATTGCTGACGTGAAATAGGAAACCATTAAACCTATTAGAATCCCTGGTTAGCCTCTGTTGAAGAAGATGATGAGCAGTGTGCAGATGCAATATCTCTAATTTGGTTTTTATGCAACAAAATTGCAATTTGCGGCAGCAACTAAGGCTACTAATGCAACTAGAAACCCATTTATTGGTGAAGCAAAACACTCTGGGAGATATGTAAGTAGTAAGACACACTTAAGCTCTGATATACATATCCGGTGCTCCTATGTACATCCGGTGTACCCTTTATCATGATTACAAAACCATTAACATATGCACTTGTATTGTATATGTGAGTGACTGTGGTCGTCGGTCAAATGCATGCAACACGCCACATATTGCGCTCTTCAGTGGCAACGCAACCAGCTGCACGCATACACATATATATCATAATGTATCCACATCAATGTTATTGCATGTATTCTTATTACGTGGAAAATAAATAGTTTGGACGCATATGAGGCTGTTCATAACTGCCGTAATAGCATTTTGTTGCAGCTGATGTGGTCATATATCTTGACATATGTTACATGTACTTGCAAGCGAGGCAAGTGCTGCAGTCCAAATGAATTTCTTTATTCATATTCCAGAAGAGTAGAGCATGGCGATAAATATTAATGTAAAAGAAAAGTCATATATTATAATTTTTATGGATAATGCAGTAGCCGATGTAATATTTCATAAAATACGAGAATTTTTAATAATTTTGCAAAGTACGGAATATTTTCTGGAAAGCCGGTTGCTTTACTCGTGTACACTTTCGCTCAATAAGAAGTAATGCTTCAATTAGTTCTTCTAATCAATGGAATTATGAGAAATGCTTACTATTTTTGATCGACACTATATAAAAGAATTTATTTGAAATTTTGAGGCTATAACTGCAGTCATAGCTTTCATTCCAAGTATGCTCCATACAATTCAGGCATACATTATGCTCTCAGTCAAAAAATTAAGAAATTCATAAAATAAATTGAAGGAAACTGCGAGCTAAAACATGTTTTATGCTTCTCTTAGCTGGTTCGTTCTGAAATCTGAATATTTCCTTCGTATTTTTTTGAAAGTCTATTCCAATCTAATAGCTATGGCGTATATCCATTCAAAATAATTAAAGCCACTTGAAACCATTTTTTCTTGGTTGTGTTTTAAGCTGAACATTATGTATAATACTAAAATATATCATACATTTCATTACATAGATCAGACAGTCCAACATCTCTCAGTTAAAACTTGTTACATAGTTGGGTATCTAACGGTAAAGTAACCTTACTAGACCAGTATAAATAATTTCTGAAAACAAAAAAAATCATATTATGAGGAAACCCATCAGAAAGGAAAGATAAAAGAACAAACATTAAGGGTTAAAAAAATGTACGGTTCTAACGTCGAAAAACAGTCGGGCGTGACTGCAATTTTAAGGGTAAAGAATGTTTTTTTTCGATTTTCGACTAACTATGAGTCCTTTAAAATAAGTTATATGGCAATATTGTAAATAATGAAAAGGTCTATAACATTTGTATATATACTTTTTTCACATAACCTCAAAATTTATGTGAAAGATTCCAATAATCAACTTTTTGCGTTTTTTATTTATATCTTGTACAACATTTTCTTTCACGATAATTGGGTAAAATTTACCTTTCTCTGTCTTTAACACTGTCTGAAAATTTGAAGTAAGTCTGACAAATACTTTTCGAGTTATTCGATAATTAACAAAGGGTTCTCGGGCGCTCTGAAACGTTCGAGAGCAGTTAACTAGCAGCAGCTGCATGCGACGGGTTCTCGTGTTTTGTTGTCATGATTGATTCACAACTTTAGTGTATATATACTTATAGTCAACTACATAAATATTCAACTATATATATTTACAATTTTTAGGTATTTTTAGTGTTGAAAAATATATCTTTGTTTCCCGTATTATTATAATTTTTTAATGCCTCTGACCACACTTAACCCCTTTGTGCTACAAATTGCAGGCTTCTTTTCAACTATGTTCACCTAATATAGAGTGGACTTTAATTCATTGTCATATGATATAAGTTTAGTGCTTTGAGAATTGTTAAGTGCGCCGATTGATAGGAATAGCCGACCAACAATGATATCGATCGTGCTGATAGTTCTGAGAGTGCAAGTTTGAAGCAATTTACATGTACATTCGCTGAGGATCAACAATATGTTACAAAGATCAAAGATCAGACTTATAATAGGAAATTAGGTTTCTGACAAGCCTATAAATTTGAGTCGCAATGTTAGCAGAATTTTTGCGGATGTGTTATCGGACATTCTTAATAATTACTCATGATTTCATGAAATACGCTATAGCCTAATAATTTGAAGTGGTTAGATATGTAGACTGAACTGATAAAATACTGTTCTGCAGCAGAGGCACTAATCTTAGAAAAAGATACAATACATAAATTATACGCCCTCAAAGTCATTCAATCATTAGAGACACACCGTAAATAAGCAAAATATGTTAGTTAGTTAAAGTTAAGCAAAAATTAGCTTACTGTATTAACATAGAAATAATTTTAAACTTATGTGTATTTATTTGTGTCTTAACACAATTATCCCAGTATTTACTCATACACACCGCGTTCGATACTGACGTTTTCGAGAGCTTCTGGAGTGCGGCAAAGGCACGAGGTGACGACGTCGCCCACTTGGTATCTGCGGTGCGGAACAATAATACAATACAATAACAAGCGAAAACCGGCATGCTGGTGAAACGAAGAAATCGCCACGCTGAGGAAGCTCTTTCACTCAGCTAGACGTAGGTTACAGCGTTACTAGGGAGATGAAAACGAAAACCGGCTCATAGAAGCATTTAAACGCCAAAAAAATCGATTGAAGTCAGTCATTACGCATACCAAAAGATCTTGTTTCCAAAAGCTTTGTAAAGAAGCATACATACAAGTAGAACCCTGGAAAACTGCGTACAAAATATGTACCACCTCTATTAATCACAGAAGAAGAACTATTGGCCCAAAACCGAAAAAACCACCTGAAGAACCTTTCTCATATCGACCTCTGTACATGCTTGACACGATTGGTAAAGTGTACGAAAGCATAGTAAGAAACCGCTTGGAGTTAGCAATCCAAAAAAACGGCGAATTATCAGAGAGACAATACGGCTTTATAAAAAAGAGGTCCACTATTGACGCACTAAGTGAAGTCGTTGATACTGATAAATGTGCAATAAGTGGGAATAGATGGAAAGATGGCACAAAAAAATATTACGCGCTACTTCCCCTGGATGTGAAGAAGTCAGTCTATTTTGAGAATAGAAAATTATATACGACTCAGATGAGGGCACTCAGGGCTATTCTATTTCGAGTTGAGTACCACAAGGTTCGGCCCCTTCTATGGAACGTGATGTACGACGGGGTGTAAAGAATACATCAAAAACAATTCGTGAACTAATTCATTGCCACAGATGAAGTACCTTGATGAAATATCGGACTCAAGACTAAAATTTAAAGAACACTTAAAAACACGACAGTAAAGCAAATACGACGATTTTTAATAGCTAAGGTAATATAAGTTATACTGTATGCGGCTCCAATATGGATCCAGTCGCTAGACACAAAATGATATGCTAGACCAATAAACACAGCAGCAAAAAGAGAGGAGAGAACCAAAAGCATCACAATGTGGCAGCAACGGTGGCAAACCTCATCCAAAGCACAGTGGACGCGCAGACTGATACCAGACATCATTTCGTGGTGGATAGATTGGCAGTATGGGAACCTGGATTTCCACTTGAACCAAATACTTAATGGACATGGGTGCTTTACAAGTTACCTTAACAAATTTCTTCATGACTTTAGTCCGTACTGTTCGACGTGTACAGAGTGTATAGAAGACTCTGAACACGTGTAAGTAAGACATAGTCCAGTGGTCTCGTGGGAGAGATATGAGATGGTTAGGTTTACAGGATTAAAGTACCGCACTTCTGCTTTTGATGCTTCCCCCTATTATAAAAAAAACCACGCATAAATGGGCTAAAACAGCAGAAATAGAGCATAGATACATAGGAACAAATAAACTCGTGGCTGACCATTTTGCTTTTGCTTTTTCATTTATGCGTTGTATGTACTTGTAATACTTACACTTTACTTTATGTATCTTTATTAAAGGAATTTTCCCCCAATTATTGTAATAAAAATCTAATTAAATCAGCGGCTGGAAGTCATGGGTTTGTGTTTATCATAAAATGTCTACGTTTATTTTATCACCTGGTTGAATAGCACACTTCATTTATGTGTTTACCTTTTTTTGTGGATATTTGGATACGTTTTATGATTTTATTATTATTACGGTTACCTTAGATACCGTAACACACTACACACCTTTGATTGCGCGGATTTTGTAATAACGCTGCTGATATCTGCATTGATATTTTGATAAAAAATGTCCAGACAATGAGTTGGTAAAATGTGCAGTTGGTTGAACACTAATGGGTGGTATAAAATGCTCTAAGTAGTGATTTGGGGTTGTCATTCATAGTTCAGCGCTGAAAGTGAATTGAGTGAGAATAAAGTAGTCGTCACGAAATAAAAGTAGCTCTTTTACTTAGTGAAGATGAATAGAACATTCCAAATAGTCGTTATTTTTTGCTTGTTAGTTACAGATATAGCTGTTAACGGTATGTGAGATATGTAAGTGTTCATTAAGTGAAAAAATTAGTGTCACAAAAGAAAAATAAATAAATAACTAAATAAAATAAAATAATAGATATTTACTTTGTTCTTGTGTGTAAAATATTCTCTCAGTGTATTCTCTCCGTGCATTCAAAACACCATTTAGCACGTATTTTTATGTCAAAGGTATATATCTAAAAAATATATTAGTAAAGTAGTATAAGTGATGGGTTTAACCGTACATTTTGTACATTCTCAACTTTAATATCTATTCGAAAAAACCGAAAGAATATAATCATTTCACAATTTGATATCTTATTTACTCCTGTACTCACTTACTTTTATTACCATATTTGTTGTCGGGTGCGAAACGTATTTATTTAGCGAATTATCGCACTTTTAGTAGTTTTCAACATAACGCTTATCTGGGGAGTGGGCGAGCTTATCATCAAACTTCACCCAATTTCGCAGTGTAGGTATAAGGAGGGGTTGGAAATATTTGTCCTCAGCAAGTTTGGTCGTATTCATTTTAGTATCAGCAATACCAACCTCCATAAGGGGCCCAGGAATATCTGAAAAAAGTTTCATATCTCAATTTTTTCTTAAGTTATTGCTTCACGGACAGACAAACTGATAAGTTTTAGGTGATACAAACCACGAGAGGATAAAAAGATTTTGACAAATAATTTCATTTTCTTATTTAACTTAAACTCCTATATAATAATAAACTCGATTGAAACTTTAAAAAAATTTAATTTTTCGTTAAAAAAATATACATAGCGATAAAAAGAAATTACTAAAAGAGTTAGCGATTTAGCCTTAAATTATGAAAAAACTAGATGTTGAGTTATGTCCCTTTTGTATTGAGCGGAATGTATTTATTTTAAATAATTTCTTTAGTTTCGCAAACTTATAATTTAAGCTGCGTTTCAAATATATAAACGCTAATGCATTGTATCATCGGATTTCTTTCAAAAGATGAATCATGTAACCGTAAATTATATTTGTTAAAAGGAATTTTATATCAGTAAAAATTTTTGAAGCTTTTATTTTCATTCAAAATATTCAAAATATATTATTCTTGTTATCTACTTATATTTCCAGGCGATGAGTTTGACTATGAGCATCAATCTAAATGGTACGACGATTTTCAACAATGCAGCTTTAATCGTCAATCGCCGATTGAACTAAATTCCAATGAGGTAAGAAGCTTTGCACTGACACCTGCGCTTCTCCTTGACTTATATTTCCAAAAAAATCGTTTCATACAAAATTTGTATCAACAAAGTCAGGAAAATGTTGTATTAAAAAAAAAAGTACAATAAGTTGAAGTTTTTTAGGCACACAATGAACTCAAGTGCAAAAAAGTGTTTTCTTTTTCAAAGTTTAAATATATATGTCTATACGCAATAAATCTTCTAAATTTATGATCTATGAACAGTTGTTGTTGTATTTTTATGATTGTAGTTTATATAACCGTCAGCTATTAATTCAATAAGACTAGGTTTCATAAAAGACTTACATCGTTGTGATAATGACACGAAATTCATGATTTTTATCACGAACTAACAAAATCTTAACCACAGACAACATTCAGTTAAAATATACAGCATGTCAGTCATAACAAAAAGTTGATAAAACTTAGCAAGCACAAATTCATAATTTTATTTCAGAAAAAATATTTATAACAGGAGAAGTATCACACAGTAACACCATAAAATTAATTTAGAGAATCTTAAACTGAAAGTCATGCACTTATGACAAACGAAATGTGGCATAAACAGCGTCTTGTCATAAATTATATTTAACCTTTTTGTAGACTTATTAACATATTTGTATATTTATTTTATTTTATTTTATTTATACACAGGCCGTTATATCGTATGACTTGCCACTGTTGAAATTCATACACTATGATGTACCCTATATGAAAGCAGTGAGAAGTGAGAATAACGGACACACAGCGAATATACAATTGCCCACGGCGAGACTCGATAGCGCTTACATTGTTGGCGGGCCGCTACAGAACGGTACAACCTTCATAATGGAGAGTTTGCACTTTCATTGGGGCTCCATCGACACGCATGGCTCCGAGCATGTGCTCGACAGCGAACGCTACTCGATGGAAATGCATCTGCTGCATCGGAATACCAAATATGCGACAGTGGTGGAGGCGCGCGAACACGAAGACGGCTTGGCTGTGCTGGCCGTGCTGTACGCGGTGAATGTAAGTTTGTAAAGAAAATAAATAAAAATTCAGGAACTTGAAAGTAAATAACATAAAGCATATGTTTCTATGCAGGTCAATGTCACCGAGGATTTCGTCGGCTTAAATGAAGTCATAAATGTTTTGGAGTCCATTTCCGAATTCAATCGCTCCACAGAAATTGACAATTTTCAACTCTCCGTTTTACTGGGCGATATGGACGTAGATGAATTTTACACCTACGCTGGCTCGCTGACAACGCCACCATGCTCGCAGGCCGTCACTTGGGTGGTGTTCACGCAACCCATCACAATTACGCCCAGCCAAATGCAGCGCTTCCGTCGACTGTCGGATGGTCATGGCGCTACCTTGGAAAACAATTATCGCGCACTGCAGGCGAAGGGTAATCGAAACGTTTTACTGCGCCAAAAACGCAGAGTGCTGGAGTCCACGGTGCAATCGGCGCTCTATTGGGAGCTGTTGAATAAGCTCAAGCCGCAGGAAGAAACAGTTACGGATGATGGAAAGTGATTTTTATGGAAAATTAAAGACTGATTGAGACCTTGACATTAGTTTGTTTGCAAATAACGCAACAAAATATTGAATACTTTACTATAGTTCAAATAATGTAAATACTTAAAAATACTTATAATATTAATAATAATTATTTGCAATTTCTTACAATCATGAATTTTTATAAGCCTAATTGGTTGCTTGTAATAGATTTCTAAACATTAGACTTTATTTTCACTACAACGAAATTTTTGCTCTTTGGCCTCAAGTCGATAGAAGTTTTGTCTTTCGTGCAATTCTCTCCCGATTACTGCCACACTAAAAAGCCAATATTCTGATGTAATCCAGAAAACCAAAAATTATATTTTAATAAACTGGGTTGCCATATCATTGATTCGAAAACGTATGGTTAAGTTTATCTAATTATACAAGACTATTCATTTATACTGCCTCTTGATTTCAGTGTTATCTGAACACAAACTAGTCACTAAATTCTAGAGCTAAGGAATACACTTACTTACAAGGTATTCACTTGCATTTTCGTAACCAATTTTTGAAGAAATTCCTGGAACCAACCGGATGAGATATACAAACGAAAGCCAGGTATGAAGTCTTAAGCTAACTAATTTTGAGGCTAACAACGACAAATGTTACTAAAAACCTAATGATCCCAAAATAAATATAAGTTTAGCTGAATGAATATTAAATTTAACAGGAACTAATCAGTCGTATTTCGCATGTAAAATATTACATATTTTTGTGTACCTTTCGAATGACGAGAATTATTAATAATGCCATGCCTTGACTTCGACCACTTAAGCTCCAATGTATCGCGGAAGACACTATTAGGCCGTAATTCTATCCGCAATTTTCAATCGTTTCGATATTCAGCACTTTATCTAGCTAACATGCTCTGAAGCTGAATAAGAGCTGAAAGCCATAGGGCCTAAATATCTGGCATGAATTTCCAGCTTTGGTATTTAGCGTTTTATTCAGCTGTCATAATCTAAAGCTGAATATGGGTTGTAAGCCAAAGTGCCGATGTAGATTTTCAACTTTTGACTCCAATAGAGTTTATTCTTTCATTGTGTGCATAGAACTACGTGTAGAAATAACTAAGGTCCCCTTCGTCTATGCAAACATTCAATTCAATAAGGTGATATATATTAGGGATATTCAACAATTTATATTAAAAATAGGTTTCATTCATTATTTCGATTATCACAGTCTAAAACTAATATGTTTATTATGTGTTTCTCTAATGACACTTGTTAGACCTCAGGAATATAATACGAGTATATACTTTACGTGATCCGTTTGTTGTGAGAACTCTTCCTGAAATGTTTTTATCACAATTTTCAAACACTTTTTGTGTCAAACCACTCCATTATAAGGCGGTAGAACAGTTTCACCTCAATTGAGTGAGCTATGACTATATATCGTCCATTGGCGTAAAGACTTAAAAAATCGTTTCGCAAATATTTCAAGTTATTTAAAAATAAGGCTTTCTGGACACTACTACAGCTATTTCTCAAATTACATAACTTTTCATTTATTTACTTAAGACGTCGAGAATTTTTACCAGACATTTTAGAGATAAATAAGTATTATGTGATAAAATAATATAATTTTAGGTAATCTATTATATGATTCAATAATTTCGATAAAAGTAAACAATTTATTATTCCCGCACAACCATAGATAATTGTGGGCGGTCGGCTTATTAATCTTTTGTTATCGCTTCAAATCGGTAACCGAAAAGTGGATATAATAGTTATAACTCCTTTCTAACCTTTTCATTTTTATACCCTAAAAAAAGGTATAAAAAATTAAATGAATATGAAAATACAAACTACAAAAGATAAGTAATATCAATCGCCCATAAGTAGCAAAAGAAGGTGGAAAAAATAGAGAAATATACTTAGCCAAGTAAAAACATTAGGGTGCCAGCAATGGTAACATGTAAATTCTGCAATGCGGTGACTTTTCCACTAAATAAATATATTTATATAAATTTAAACATGTGCATTTGATCATACCAGTCTCGGACTAGTCCATATATATCCATAACTTATTTTTTCGTGCTTGTAATGTAACTTACCGCATCTATCGGGTTTTCCAATAGGTATGATATGATTTCCAAGTGTCGTTTCGTCCATTTTTAATATGGAATGATCTGTAATATTTTTTTCATTACATTCAGTAATGCTTACAATTTCTTCATTCAAAGATAAACGCAAAAACAACGTTTAGAAATTATTGAATTTTATTATTAAAATAATCGTTCTCCAATTGTAACTTTCCGTGAGGGTTTGTCCTTTTTTGTTCGTAAAAATTGTTAACCTGTGCTCGCTATTCGTGCGGGAAATAAACAAAGTTGTCGATTCTGGTGCAAAGAAAATCTACAAATTATTCAAAAACAACCATTATATTCACCTAAATTGACAGTTTGGTGGGTTTTAGATCTGGTGGAATCATCGGTCCGTAGTTATTTAGAAATGAAGCTGGTAACATCGTTACTGTCATTGGAGAGTGGTATAGATCGATGATAACCAACTTTTTATGGCCGCAATTGGAAGCAGTTGATCTTGACAACATCTGGTTACAACAAGACGGTGTTACGTGCCACACAGTACGTGCAACAACCGAATTATTGCGATAAAAGTTTGCAGATTCAATAATTTCAAGAAATAGTGACATTGAACGGCTTCCTAGAGGTTGTTATTTAACACCTTTAGACTACTTCTTGTGCGGTTATTTGAAGTCATTGGTCTGTAGCAATAAACCAGACTCTCTTCAAGCTTTAGAAGTCAATATTGAATGTGCTATTCATGACATATGACTTGATTTGGTGGAAAAAGTACTTGAAAATTGGAATTCGTTCCTGCAAAAGAAGTTGTCAGAACTTAATTGTATCGATTGTACTTCACAGTAAATAAAAACATTTGAATTTCCTTAACAATTAGTATGTTTTTTTATTCATATTCTGTTTGGAAAACCCTGTATATGCGCTCATACAAATTTCCATTTGCCATTGCAACTGAGTTTGCTGAAGCCACGAAGGTTTCGACTGCGGTCTTCGCAGCTATATAATCTACGTTTAAATCTGCAACACAATAACCGGATAAACAAAATGGCACAGCAAGTGTTGCGACTACACAGTGCAAATTTTTAGCGGGGCATATATGTGCGGCACAAGCGTCCCAGTAGGAATACGGAAGCTAAAATGTTTAAAAAAGGTTTAATCTATTTTTTTATGATATATTTTTATGTGTGCATACATACACATATTGATAGAAATGTCATATTATAAAATATATATATTTATATCGAATATCATTTTGTCTGAAATCATTTCAATTTGATTTCATAAAACAACAAAAGCAATAAAAAATAATAAAATATGCATGAGACACTTGTAAAAATTTCATATTTCGTTCCTTTTTTTAATTGTTAATAAAAACATACAACAAAAAATTAACACAAACTTGTTTCGTTTTCCTTAAATGTTATTTCTAAATTAAGTACAATAAATGAATTAGTACAAAAACTGTATTTTATTTCACATCTACTCAAAATTCAATGGTTTTCATTTCCTTTCATGCACATTTCTGTATTTACCCACTTTGCTACTCTCGCTCGTAACCACGCTGCCACAATGCTTTCCCCTTTATGTGCATATGCAACACTTTTGAAAAGCCTAAGTAAGTCAGTTGTAAAAGTTAATGCTTTTTGTTGGCATTGTTTGTTTCGCTTACCGTTGTTAAATATGTTAAAATGTTTACCGTTTTGCCCTTTGCTTTTATTCGTAGCAAAATGCACATAAACCATAAGGGTACCACAGGTGGTATGCGCAACATTTATTTGACTTCACTTATTTACTAAAAAAGCATATGTATTGTAGTACGTAAGTACTTACGGCGCAGAGAAATGAAAAAAATTACATTTTGTGAACAATATTAGCTTAGCGGGTTAGATTTGTGCATTCAAGTTGGGAAGTTTGCGATTTTTACTAATTTTGAAGAAATTTAAAAGGGTTTAAGAGATTAGATTAATTTCAAAAAGAACACTATGAAGCAGTGAAAAAGTAATAAAAACTTAATATTTTAAGTCCAACAAGACGCTGGGAACAGTATGTTGCAGCCAATGCATATTGATTGATGAAAACAAATGGTAATCGGAAAGGGCCAAGTCTGGTGAATACGGCGGATGGGGAGCAGCTCCCAGCCAAGTACTTTGATTGTAAACTAAACCATTTTTACTTTGTGTGCAGGTGCATTGTCGTGTAACAAAATTACTTTTGTCGTGTCTTCTGGCCCATTCTGATCGTTTTTCGATCAATCCATGCTTCAAACTAATAATTTGCTATCTGTAACGATTAGTATTAACAGTTTCACCCGATTTTAGAAGCTCATGATATACCACACCCTTCTGATCCCATCAACATACTTACATTGCCTTCTTACCGAATCAATCTGTGCTTGCAGTCGATATTGATAATTGTTCTGGATTAAAACAATGATTTTTTCTGTTAAGTATCCTTAAAATAAATACATTTTTCTTTATTAAGGCTCGTTCACAACAAACGCTCCTTACCAACACATTTGTATCTTAACGCTCACTGCATACCGGTACACCTGCCATATGAATATTCTTATTTCTATGTTTTATCTGGCATTTGAACCTTAAACAAAAAATAGGGTATGTAAATACCTAGTAATAAAAAAATTCAAAAAGCTCTGAAAGTATTGAGTAAAAATTATAAATTTGAGTTTGAAAATTTTTGTAATTTCCACCATATATTTAAATTTTTTTTGTTTGATTGAGAACTTGCCTAAAAATCAAATCATAAAAATTTGTTCTAAATTAATTGGACAACATATTTGAAAGGTGAAAATAAATAATTGTCAATGTTAGAAATTCAAATATATTGCAGATAATTTTTATATATATCAAAAACAAAAAGCTACGCAGTTTTGAAAATTAAGGAATGAAGCGGGTTTTATTAATTTTTATGACTCCACTAAAAAGCGTTAGAATAAATCACGTTGCAAACAAAGTGGACAACATGTGCAATTTTGGCAAAACCGAAGGCACTGAAAAACAAATGCTCTGGCCTAAGTGTCTGTCTGTGTGTCTGGCAAAGCTTTGGTGTGTTAGTATGTCATGTCACTGTCACATTCACCGTCAGCAGCAGACGCCGCTGCCGTCACAGGCAGTGCACATTTTCGCCATGATTACTATCCCCTTCCGATGGTGCTGCTGTTATTCTTGTTTGCGCCACCGCTGAGCCCGTCAATGTTGTCAGCTCGGCACACTACTCACTGTGAATAAAAGGTTTCTGCTGACGTCACGCGTTCCCGGTTGCGGCTGGGACGCGTGATTGATGGAGTCAAATGCATCTAATGCGAAAAAGGGGCACACTTTTTATGACACTGCGTGGCGCAACGTCAACACACGACTAATGAAAGGCATAAAAAAGGGACAACTTCTATTTTATATTCCTTCTACTCATATTCTATTTGAATTTTGGTGCGGTATACGTGCGCGTGTGTTGTTTGCGTTAAAGCTATCGCTTAGTTGGCCGATGACATTTTTATTGCAAAATTTGTGATAAATTCCTTACTTGGCCAACAAAATTTTTATTTGTGTGTATGTAAATAGTTTTACGCATTTGCAAGAAATTTCAAACAAATTACCTTCATCAACTTGTATATTTATATTTCAAATTCATCGATTATAATGAATGATTATTCATGCAAAAGATGTTTTGTTTCGGATTTGCGATAAGATAATTAATTGAAATTAATTATTTGTGAGGTTTAGTTAGAATTAATGGCAGGGATGGCACATGACAGCCGTTATGTAGATATATAAATAGTTGTTAACAAAAGTATCGATTTATTCATTGAAAGATTATCACTATGTCTCAGATATTTATAAATAAAAGCTTAAAATTATTATTTGCAATCAAAATCAAATAAATAACCCTATTCTCAGAGCTTTCAAAAAATATTCGTCTAAATATTATTGATCTTTCAAAGTTATCTATACTAATTTGATTAAATGTAAAAATTTGTTTGTTTGTTAGTTTGAATTGAATAGGTTCCGAAACTACTTGACGGATTTGAAAAATTTATTCATCCTATATTTATTTTCTTTTCTCCTGTCTAAAATTAAATTTAATTTCCCGGTTCGCATTTCGAAGCAGATTAGATCCTTACAGTTAAATTCTTGTAGATCTAATTTTGAACTAAACGAACCATTCCGCCGTATATGTCATGATTTTAATTCTCATTCCTGCACATTTCATTTATCTGACTCATTTTTCTGAATTAAAAACACTATATTGCTTTCTCTGAATAAATCAAATCGTAACAATATATTATATCGTAACTACTTGTATAAATCTGAGCTGTGTACATTTTTGTTTCCGTTTTTTTTTTTTAATTTTTCGCGAAAGTTACTAAAATTTTAATTGTAATTTGAAAGTTAAATAATAAAAGTATAGATTTAATAATAAAAAGTAATTGGAGAATAGCGCTTTTAAAGTCGAGTCGGGTCAAGACGAGTCGGTCGTAACTACAAGCTTTAAACGCCTATACACCTGCTAACTTGGATCGTGTCTGCTTGAAATTTTCAGTATTCCAAATGAGTTTTAAAACTGAATAAAACAAAAAAGAAAGTTGAAGGAATTTGACGGGCTTTGATTCCAGCACGATTCTAGAGTACACCCTACACTAGCTCTTTCTTACTTTTCTTACTATACGATCATTACCAAAATATATAATAAAACAGTATAATATGTAGCAATGTAGATATAAAATTTCTAAAAGAGCACTGCATTTCTTCTATATCGTCAAATAGTTGTAGAATTATTTTAAGACTATTAGCGTTTCGATAAATCTTCCTGCTCAACAATTTTGAGGTTTTGTACCTTATAAAAAAGTCCTACATTTTGGAGCGAAGATAAAATATCTGCGGAACGAGAAAATATCGCGAACTGAATGAAAGCACAACTCAGAGATGTGGGTGTATCTCTGCAAACGCACCTAGTATGTAAATAGTTTTATATACCCAAGAAGATAAGGTTATATATACGAGGTGTGTTCAAAGGAAAGAATGAATTTTGAGTTTTTGTGAAAAGCACTTATTTATTCATCAATATCTATTTTGTCCTTCAAAGTAATTCCCCTCGGATTAATTCACTATTTCCAAACCTCGAAACACTTCTGAAATGCGCTTTTTGATAATGCCATCAGATTTTTCATCGATTCTGACTAGATCTCATCAATTGTGGCAAAACGCTTTTCTTTCATTGGTTTCTTCAGTTTTGGAAATAGGTAAGTGTCGCAGGAAGCCAAGGGACCCTTTAATTTATTCAACAACTCCTGAGCGACACTAATATAACTTTGCTTTTGCTTAAAATTTAGCAATTTCGCAACAAACTTCGCAGTCACACATTTCATGCCCAAACCATTCGAGAAAATTTAATGGCCTGAGCCGATTGTTATGCCAACATCCTCTGAAACTTCTTTAATAGTGATTCGACGATTTTCAAGAACAATTTTCTTCACTGTTTCGATATTTTCTTCGCTTGTGGACGTGGTCGTACCTCCATGTCAAAAACCAAAGAGCACACAAAAACGTCTGTTGTCAAAAACAGACTCACTAAACACATGATAAACATATGTGTCCGATTATAACCAAAACAACATATCGATAATCGAATGCACACAGCCCACGAAAAATCCAAATTCACCTTTTCTTTTGAGCACACCCCGTATAGTATACGTGGTACATATAGTACACATAAATATTTTTCATAGCATTTTCTACGATTTTTACTTCTGCTACTTGCAGCCTTCAACGCGACTTTATATTTCATTTGCACCACAGCTAATATATATGGTATACTATATAAATTTCCACACGCACATATGGCAACCCACTAGTCTGCAGCTGTTTGCTTTGCGTCGTCAAGTCAGAATTTATTGCGCTGCGTATTTATATTTGTAAATATTTGATTTACTCTTTTGGCTGTAATGAAAGTCGTTCGCTTTAAAAGCTGCAAGCGTTTATTGCTTGTACAAAGTGTTTTATTTATGAACAATACTTATGCATTCTTGTTTATGTGAATTAAGGAAATATCATTAAATTTCAGAATAAATAATTAAAAATAATAAATAAAAAGAACTTAATATATGTATATTTTAATTTAATTTAAAGTTAAAAATTTTTATTTTATTTTTTTTTTTAAGAACATTCATCAAAGCTTTTACGCCTTCTTAATGGCAATACTAGAACGGTACGAATTACTAAGACGGAAGTACTAAAGGGACTCAATCAAAAGATTTTAGAGTCGTAAATGCATCAGATGGTACCAATAATTGCTCTAAATAAACCGTGCATCCATAGTGATTGATCTAAAGTCCGAATATTCTTTGTTGCACTACTTCTCAAAATTATCTAATATTTATATCGTGATGCAAGAAATTTTTTATACCTTTCTTAAATTTGTTCTAAACTAAACTTTTCTAAAATATCACCCTTAACTTCGATTGATATGATTCATATACATTTAGATAATAGACAGATATCAGGATGATGAGAAGGAGTGATTGCGGAACAATTTTTGCAAATAAAATTTTATTCGTTAGTTAGTTGATCCAAGTCAATTATTTATTAATTATTACTTTATTATACCTAAGCAGACATGTGACTTGACTAATTTTAAACAATCCGCCTAAGTGTAGGCAATATTTAAAAAACTGTTTAAAAGTGGCTCAATAACTAGAGACTTGGTAGTGGATTTGAAGGCAATCTGAAACGAGTGACACAAAATATTAAGAATTTGCTCATCAGTATTACTATTTTATTCAAACTCAATACACTAGATTTAAGTGATGGCTAATTTTGAAATTGCCAAGTGTCGAAAAAAAGTGTACAAGATTTGCAGATATGATTTTCTCGCAAAAAGGTCCATCAAAGAGACTCCAAGGTCGACTATGATCTAGTTAAGTTTTGAGAAATAGAAATACTCTTTTATTATTCCAATAAATTAAGCTGGTTTCTTATTTAATATAAATTGTAAGATAATTTTTTTATACCCTGAACAGGGTATATTAAGTTTGCCACGAAGTTTGTAACATCCAAAAAAACCGACGGAGACTGTATAAAATATATACATAAATGATCAGCATAAAGAGCTGAGTTGATTTTGTCATGTTCGTCTGTCTGTCTGTCTGTATATAAGTTTTTAAGCTATCGATCTAAAATTTCGCACCTGTCCTTTCCCCACAAAGAAGCTGCTCATTTTACGGAACGCCCGATATCGGACCACGGTAACATATTGCTGCCATACAAACTGAACAATCGGAATCAAATGCTTGTATGGGAAACTTTTTTATTTGACGAAATATATTCACGAAATTTGCCATAAGTTATTTTCTAAGGCAACAAGCTATCTCCGAAGAAATCACTATATTATAAAGCTGCTATACAAACTGAACGAACGAAATCAACTTCTTTTTAAAAATCTTTTTTATTTGTGAAGGGTATTATAGCTCCGGTGCAACCAAAGTTAGCATTTTTTCTCGATTTCATTAAAAAAATCAAAATAATGAAAAACTATGAAAGTTATTGTAAATTTAATATGAACAAATAGGGTAATACCGTTAATTCTTTATCAAAAAACATGTATAAATTGTTTTTAACTTTTAAAAATGGTCATGGAATCTTTATTTTCGAAAGCAAATAATTAAGAAGAAAATAAAGTTATAAATTTAGCCTTGCCAGCAGCTTTCGATATTTATGATCGCGTGACAGAAATATCGAAAACAGTAGGAAATCGAAACAGCACACAAAACAGCGCGCTGACTTTCACAAAGACGCCAGCAAGTAAACGAAAGATGTACATAACTTAAATATATAAATTGCTTGCACCACATGCCACAAACCAAAATGCAACAGCAAATATGCAGCGCCACACAAGCATGGTAGCAGTTTTTTTGCTGCACGCCAGCGCTGCCAGACTTACAAGTAGTTACCAACATCACATACTAACAAATATGCTATGCTACTTATGCCGCACACATTCGCTTCTATGCATCGGTTTGTGCCTGCAGCTATATATGTGGGTCCACCGGTGCGCCGACAAGCATTCAGGCATAAAAACATGACCTAAATAAACTAATATGAAAGCGAGTGAAGCAAGAGTGTAGCAACTCAACAGCCAACAACTAGGTGTAACACCACCCCTCTCCGTACGCACAACAGCCCAAGGAGAAGTGGGTGTGTTAGCAGGTTGACTGGTGACCTTACTGGGGGCCTGATATTTTTCGGCAACTCCATTACATCGCATCAATGTGCAGCGATTTCCTTCATTTTAATTTTCCTTTTATTTGGCTTAACGCCAGAAAGTATGCTACCAACCGCCCGCTACTGAATACAACTGTTATATACACGTGTAAGTTGCACACACGCTCAATGCTCTCCCGTCAGCTATTTCACTGCATGTTGCCAACATGTGTATCCTGTGCTCTGTTGCAAATAGCTACCGCCTTCACTTCCGTTATTTTTACAGTTGAGCTTACGATGCTTCTTTCTAAATAAACACTTACATAAGTGTGTTTGTATGTATGTATGAACCTAAGTATAGAAAAAAATTGTGCTGGTAATAGTAAATGCTCCTTTTTTTCCTCCCGTACTTAGCCACCTCTCTTTGCCTTGTTTAGCCGCATTTCCAATTATCGGTTATCGTGTTGTTGAAACCGGCATTTCAGACAGCGGGTAGGCGATCTCTGGAGGTGGCATTTCTAAACAATGTAAGGTTTTAATTTTCTGCAAATTTCATAATTGTTGAAAAGTGCTGAGCAGCACACACATTTAATTCAATAACTTCTGGTGTGTGAGCAAAGAAGTTTTGCAGCTTTTATTATACCCTGAACAGGGGTATATTAAGTTTGTCACTAAGTTTCTGACAACCAGAAGGAAGCGGAGACCCTATGATATATAAATATATATATTACATCAGCGTGACTAGCTGAGTCGCTTTAGCTATTCCCGTCTGTCTCTCAGTTTTCGAGATACCGATCTAAAATTTTCCACATGTCCTTTTCTGCCCAAGGAGCTGCTTATTTGTCCGAATAGCCCGTATCGAACAAGTATAGAATATAACTGACATACAAATTGACCAATCTATATGCAGTTCTAATATGAAAACTTTTTTATTTGTGAAGGGTATTATATATATTTTTCCTTCATTTATCTATTCTCTGGAAATTTTCTAAAGCTTTTGTTTAGATTCTGTATTCTGTGCGCAGCTGATAAAGTTAGCAATTTGTAAGCGGTCAAATTGAGAAAAAGTAATTAAAAAAAAGTAAAATTTGTAACAGGTTGAAAAGGATGTTTAATAAATAAAAGTATTTCTAGCGAAAATAAAATTATTATAATCTACAAAAATCAACCTACATATAATTTAAACAGAAACTGAAGCAAATGTGTTCTGTAGTCCGTTAATAAAACGAGATAAATGATACATATTACGAAGGGTTGAATGAAAGACGTAGTCTCGATCTTATATTACCTAACCCCGGCATCCTTACAAAAATGTAATATTTTTTACGAAAGTCATCTGTATTAACACCGCTATTTTGTAAATTTTTGACTCTTTTTTTTTAATCGCAGATCTGTATATGGACTCTACCTTCCTCGCTTTTTTAGGTGTGCCCCTTAAAAAGGGATAGGCATTTGCAGAAAATTTCTTGCACTTCGACCGGTATATGCGGTATAAAGTCAACCGGTGGTTCGAAAATATTTATGTTAAGTATACGGTTTCTAAGGGAAGTGTTGACCTGCTTCTACCCTTTTCTGGCACAAGTTATAGTGCGATTTCGGCAATTTTTGGACGTAAGATGTAATACCTTGAGGGACTTATTTGTGCAAAGTTTTACTCTGATAATTTTATTGATGTTTTAGTTGTATACTGTAAAGTGAAAAAATCAGACAGAATTTAAAAGTTTGTGATATGGGAATTTTCGCAGTGTCTAATTGGAATGTTTGGGTAACCTCACACAGTAAATTTGGTTGTAATC